GAAGAAGAAGAAGAAGAAGAAGAAGAAGAAGAAGAAGAAGAAGAAGAAGAAGAAGAAGAAGAAGAAGAAGAAGAAGAAGAAGAAGAAGAAGAAGAAGAAGAAGAAGAAGAAGAAGAAGAAGAAGAAGAAGAAGAAGAAGAAGAAGAAGAAGAAGAAGAAGAAGAAGAAGAAGAAGAAGAAGAAGAAGAAGAAGAAGGAACCTCTCAGAATTTATTAAATGAGAAAACATGCTCTGCGTGAAAAAGCATACTTGCAACACACGTTTAAAGGTCTTAGTAATCATAGTCTTAGATGATCATTCCATGCAATTAAATTATATGGACTCCTCACTTCACTGAGACTGATGCAACATGTGCAGCAACAGATGTAGGATCAGTGGTACTGAAACTTAACTTCAGGAACTTTTTCTCCAACTTCCAGGGTACATTTTAGGTACAGTTTGTTAAACTGCAATGAAGAAAGGGGAAATGCTAAGAAGCAGAAGTTTCTGAAGAATGTCTTGCTTTCCAGGTAAATACTTACACTTCAAAGTGTATAGACTTGCCTCTTAAATAGAGCAAGCAGCTTTTCTGAAAAATTTGAAATAGCCATCAGCTGTGCATATGTGCCCCAATCACTTCAGCAGATTACATGCAGTAGAAGAATTTTAATTTGGAAGTCTACCAAGCATCTTCCCACGTGGGTGTAAGACAAGAAAATACAAGTCTATGAAGAACAAGCAGAGTAGCACTGTTTGATGCATCAAAGTTTAATAACTTCTCTGTCCTGAAACAGGGGACTTTTTCAATTACAAGTGGACAAGAGGAAAATCCAGCTGTAGAATAATTTGAACAATATGGAGACACAGAGTGATTGAATTCATGGACTGAAATAGAGATTATACATCATGCTAGTTAGCCCAGTTCTCCCAGATCATGACATATCAGGATATATTTATTTGGCTTACATTATAGGTTCATCCAGTGAGTTTTGCACTAATTTCTCTCAGTCTCAGTTAACTCAACTTAAATAAGGTATTAATAGCCATAATAACATAAGCCAAATTGAAGACAATTCAGTGATTATAAAGCACTGTGCAAAGTGAATGATACTACATGTAAAATGCAAAATGTGATATACAAATTCATTATAACAAAACTATTTGCCTTTTTCCCCTCTTACCTCCAGAAAATTTGTCCATCTTAGAGAAGAGTGGAAAGAGGAAAATATATAATATTCCAAACATGCAGCCTTGGCTAAACTCAGTAACTGGTTCAAATTGTACCCATTTGTCACAGTTCAAAAAAGTTAAAAGCACAGGTGGAAGACTTGCACTGGGAACTGTATTGCTTGTGTCTGCCTTTCTCAAACACATGATCTTCTAGAAAGTAAGCCATATGGTGCACATTATTTTTTTATATAATTTTAAAAGCAGACCCTGCACCCACAAATGCTAGGAAAAAAAAAAAAATGTAATCTATATATATACATAGAGTAATGCCAAAATCAAACAAGCTATTCTTTTACAGGAAATTTTCTTGAAGACTGTAAACATCTTCAAAAAAAGATTTGCATTCTTTAAATATTGCAAGAATTGGGTTGTAATCCAGAAAAACTTTCTTTAAAAGGCTACTGCAGAACAGCTAATATTTCTATGCTAAAGACTAACATTTCTATGCAAAAGGCAAAAGGCTAGAAGTGCAGCAAGGACTTGGCCTAAATTGTGACTCACTCAGTCATAACAAATATACTGCATTCTTTATTGTACTCTCTGGCCTCTGTGCAAGACAGAGCTTAACACAAGTGCCAGACAAACTTTCCTACTTAATGGAGCTTAACAGATAGATAAGAAGGGGCAGGCAAAACAAAGACCAAGAGAAGGACACATTCAGCACCCTCCTTTGTTTTTCAGATCCTTATGAAGTTCAGTCAATCGGGTTCTTACAGTAAACTCTCTTGAAGTCTTCAGCCTTTCTACCCACTCTAGATTTTTCTCACAGAATCCAAAGGCAGGGTTGTTTTTTTAAATGAATGAATAAATAAATTAAAGAAACAAAAAGTTGCATAACCCATACCACATGGAGGATAATTTCCAGTGAATTATTTCAAAGCTCACCTTTGACCTTTTGAGAACCAGAGATGCACCAGCAAATTCAAGGGATTAGGCTGTATTCAATGAGAAATTTTACTTGCCTGTTGACATATAACCCTAACCTTTTGGGCAATAATCTTAAACGTCACCATTCAAGAACTGCAAGAAAACTTACAACTAAAAATTTGACTACAAAGTAGGCCTCCCTTGCACATTAGTGACATAAATACATTGTTTTCACCTGCTCACGTGCTAAATTTTGGAAATATTACTGTGCAACATTTGGGAAAAAAGAAACTGCAAACAAAGCACCTGCTATTGAGATAAATGCTCCAATATGGCACTCAATGTGTTCTTAGCAAAACATATAATAATCACTGCTAAAATACGACCAGCTTGGTTTTTCACAGTATAAGAGAATGAACCAGGTGAATCTGGATATTTCAGACACCTGCTTTTAAATGTAATTTCAGATATCAATATTTGTTCAGCAATTCCATACTTTCCACTATAGCAGAGTTCAGTGACTCTGGATATTATTCATGCCTTGTTAAGTTTGTGCAATTCAGTGCAGGAAGAGGCACAATACCTAGCAGGAGGCCATCAGAGTTGAACAATGTTTTTACTGTATTCAAAGACCTGCCTCCTGCCTCCGAGAGAAAACCAAACGCGTCTAATTTCGAGGACAATATCCCTCTTTTTTGCAAGGTGAGAGAGAGAGAGAGAGAGAGCAATGAGTGCAGGGCAGGCGCATATTTTAATTCCTGCAGGTGCCATTTGCTTAAGCTTACAGCGTTAACTGGCGCCCTTTGAGAATCTGCAGCAATGCACTTGTGAAAGGAAGACAACCCATTTTGTTCGAGTCGAAAGAGATGGCGGGAAAGAAGCTTTTTTTTTTTAAAAAAAAAAAACTCACCCGCAGGATCTTATCTAGCCCCTCCTGGCCCAGACAGGGAAACTCTTTCAGGAGCTCCGACTTTTTCTGCTTGTAACCCTCGGCCGCATTTTGCAAATGAGGATGCTCCAGCACTTCGAAGATAGCTGCTCCGATGGACAGGTAGAAAATAATCGCCGACGTCAACAGAGGACCCCTATCTACCATGGCGGTGCACAGCAGGTAGCCTCGGCTCCAGTGGCAGGGAGAGGAAACGGCTCGGGTGCCTCGGCTGGAGAGCAAGGAGAGACCCCGCTCCGTCGGCAGAGAACGCCACGGATCCTCGCTGGCGCGCTCCCTTTCCTCCCCCGGCCTCGGCTTTCCTCCTACTCCCCCCCCTCCAGACTCCCGTTTTTATTTTCCTCCCCACCGCCGCCTCTTTCTTCTCCCGGTTATCGCTCCGCCGCTCTTAGACCGCTCGGCTTCGGGCCGCTCCTCCGGTGTCCTCCTCGCTGCCGCCGTCGTTTGAATTTGGAGCCCTTCTCTGCTCCCACTCGCCTCCTCGAGCGGCGCATGCGGAGCGTTTCCCAGCTGGCCGCCACCGGCGGCGGTCCCGGAGAGCGGGCGAGCGAGAAAGAGCGAGGGTCCCTCCGCTCAGGCCGGCTGCACGTGGCGGGGGACACCCCCTCCCCCCCCCCTCTTTCCCAAGCGCTCGACGTGGGCTTCGATCGAAACCGCCGCGGCTACCGAGGAAAACCCGCGCTTCCGCTTTGACTACTTCGGCCCGCGCGTTCGGCGGCGCTCTCGCAACTGAAGCGTGGCCCAAGTCTGCGCGCTGTCTTTAGTACGGAACGCCCACCCCGCGGTGCCAGCTTGTGGGACGGCCGGAGCCTTGCTGCTGCCACCGCCTGGGTGGGGTGACTTGCGAGCAGCGCAGATAACTGAGATATATCCTGATTCTTACCTTGGGAGTAGGTGGGGTCCTGCGTAATTCGCCGCGGCGAGTGACACCCACGCCCGCATTTGCATTCCCCGGCCCTCTTAAGGACTGCGTGGAGGATAGACGCCGGTCAGGTGCTTCGAAAGGAGCCAAAACCTTCAGATTGGATTCCTTCGGGTAGAATCGCTGCCTTGTGGCTGTTTGAGACTAAGAGCCTATCAGATGAAGGGAGCCGCTGATTGTGACCTAATAAAGTGGCTATTAAAGTAGACCAGTGGTTCTCAACCTGTGGGTTGGGACCCCATTTGGGGTTGATCGACCATTTCATGGGGGTCGCCAAGCAAGGCTGTCTGACGTTTTTTTGTCTGCCATTTTTTTTGTCCGCCATTTTTTTCCCCTTTTCCGGCGGGTACCTTACCTCCCTTGGGCTGGGCCAGCTGGTGGTTGGCCTGCTCCGTCTCTGCCACTTGCCAGCTACGCCTCGGCCGGCGCAGGGGGCGGAACCACACATGCGCGGCGCTCCTGGGCAGGGAAAGTCCTCAACTTACGACCGGTTGGGTAGTCCTCGGCTTACGATCGGTTTAGTCCTCGACTTACGACCGGTTTAGTCCTCGACTTATGACCGGTTTAGTCCTCGACTTGCGACCGGTCGGGGTCGCGGCATTAAAAAGGTTGAGGACCACTGAGGTAGACCGTGTCTAAGTATTTGAGGGGCTGTCGCAAAGTGACCCGCTGATGGTGCCCTAATAAAATTGTTATTAATAGACTCTGTATCTTACGCATTGGAGGGGCTGTCACAAAGAAGAAGGGGGTCAACTGGTTTTTCAAAGCACCAGAAGGCAAGATCAGAGACAATGGATGGAAACTAATCAAGGAGAAAAGCAACCTGGGATTAAGGAGAAACTTCCTAACAGTGAGGACAATTAACCGGTGGAACAGCTTGCCTCCAGAAGTCCTGGGTGCTTCATCACTGGAGGTTTTTAAGAAAAAAACTGGACAGCCACCTGTCTGAAATGGTATAGGGCAGGGGTAGGCAACCTTGGCTCTTTTATGACTCGTGGACTTCAACTCCCAGAATTCCTGAGCCAGCATAGCTGGCTCAGGAATTCTGGGAGTTGAAGTCCACGAGTCATAAAAGAGCCAAGGTTGCCTGCCCCTGGTATAGGGTCTCCTGCTTGAGCAGAGGGCTGGACTAGAAGATCTCAAAGGTCTCCTCCAGCTGTATTCTGATTGATTGATCTACTTTTAACAGCTCCAACTCTCTTTGTTCTTCTGGGTTTTGCAGGGAGAAAATAGCGAGCCAAGGCCAGGATCTGTTGGATTGCATGGGGATAAGGGGTCATATTATGAGTGATACTGTAATAATTAAGGCTCTGATCCTTTAATTGGCAGAATGGATCACGTGTTTTCTCAGTGTTTTTAAAAAAATGTTGCGATGATAAGCATGAGTCTTTGAGTGGGTCAAGACTTGGTTCTTGCTGTAATAGATTAATATGGCTGGAACTAGGTAAAAAAATGGTTTTAGAGCTAAATCTCATAAATGTTATTCCCCCTAGAGCTATGTTGACAGGGAGGATGGATGGTCCTCATTCCACATTGTGGGTGGCCTTTGGCTTTGATGGTGTCATTGTTTTCTTTTCTCAATGGGTTTAATTTTTCAGCCACATCACTGACAGATTGGATACACTACAGTAAGAGGATCATGTATTGCCTTTTGTTGGGCAGTCTAGTGGGACAATTTGGGCTGCTGACTTTGCCTGCAGAACAGTATCATACCAATCTGTTTCCTTGTCTGGGCCACTCAGTCACCACTTGTGTTAGGAGTAGGTACAGTACTTCATTTACTTTCCTCCCGGCTGATGCAGCATCATCCCTTTTCTCTCTCATGTCCTCAAATGCACTGGGACTGAAAGTCCAAAATAACATACAAGAAGCAGTGGCCATTTCTTTTACTTCTGCTCACTTTTTCTACCCTTCATAGCTAAGAAAGGTGAGCGATAGCAGTGGCTGCTGCTTCTGATTATTGTCCTATAGTTTCATTTCTGCACTCAGTGGTGAGTTGGAAATCCTGTAGCGTTTATCTATGTTAATAGAATAATTAATAATTAATTAATTATGGAAACATGTATAAAAGTACTAACTCCCTGGAAAGGGCTCTAATGCTGGAAAGGAAGGAAAGAGAAGAGGATGACCAATGCAAGGTGGATGTATTGAAGTCAGTCAAAGTGGCAATGAGTGTCCTCAAAGAAGAGGTTTGGAAATAGAACATCAAGGAGAAAAGGTGTTTTTTACATGGTCACTAGGAGTCAAAAATGACTCGATGGTACATAATCAACCAATACAAAAGTAATTTCTGGTCCTGACATCCATGTAGAACTCACCCTTTTCATAGCAGTTTCCAGTTTTTGCTATTGCAAAATGAATCTTTAATCAAAGTAATAGGATAATGTCGTGGTGGATGCAAAGCTTGAACTACATGTGTGTATCAAACCAGTATGACACACAGAATGTCAGGTGAAGGTGAGGAAAAATGCAAGGCAGAAACTATATTTGCACAGAAAGCAAGTCACACTCATACTGAGAACCAACATTGCCAGTCATTTAAGGGACACTAGGAAAATGAAGTGCAGTTTCTAAAACTTTTCCACCCAACTATCATTGCAACATTGTTGAAAGAAGTGTAACTCCTTGAGATAAAACAAATCAGTGCTTAGTAACCGACGTTTCTATCAGTTTCTGTTGTTTTTTTTCTCATGTACAATTCAATGCTGCAGAAAGAAAAGAAGCATATGAAACATTTGAAATAATTATTCAGTGGGTAAGCCATTATGTGATTTGCAGAATATTTTCCGTTAGTTTAGAAATTATAAAACTTTTAATAGTTTATTATAGTGAAATTTTTATTAGTTTTAATTATATGATATTATTATTACTTTTAGTATTAGTATTGTTTAACAATATGGATATTCTATTGTTTAATAATTAGGATACTAATTTGTTTATGTTTTAATTATTATTATTATATTTATGTTAAAGGGGAGTTAAAGCGCATTATGGACTTGGTTATTTATATAGTTGGTTAACGTTAGTTAGATTATGATTATTATATTTGTAACCCTGTATTCAGCTCTGGGAAGTGAGGGAGGGAGAGGGGGGGGTTAGGGTGGGTTGGTTTTGGGGTTTATATTGTAACTTTTATAAAACTTTTCAATAAAAAAAAAGAAATTATAAAACTTTAAATATGTTAAATTAAATATGTTAAATTATTCTCCCGTACAGAGAATACAATGTAATTTTAATAACTTTGTATAGCATTACATCATCAATATCTGCTTGGATCGGGTTAGCAATAAAATGTGCATTATGACATATACCTTGTGACTTACATATTTGTATCCAACAGCAAACACAAAAGGCTAAGATTTATTGTGACAGGAGAACAGATGTTACATAATTTTTGCATCATAGTTTGTACTGGATGTCTGTGTTCTCCGCATTGTTTGTTGCTGTGTAAAATCATACAGGTGATTCAGTTCTCATACATAATCTGAACTTTTCTGGAGTAATCAAAGAACAATACCGGTAATTAGAACTAAATTTTGATTTGTATCCTATATTCGCAGGCTCAGGCTGTCAGTGACTTGTCCTTATCCTCTATCTACTTTACAAATATTTTATTAGGCAAATTATATATGTGTGAATAATTCTCATAACAAGTATGTATCATCCTATATGTGCATTTATTATAGGAAGGCTATCAGAAAGTCAGGTAATTTTAATGCTTACTCTTTACTAGTTTCTCCATAATCAAAGCTTGACCATTTTTCCTTCTATCAGCAGGATGTTATTTTTTAACTGTGGAATTCATACATCAGTAGACAATTCAGTGTTATTAATGTATTCTTTATTGTTTTTTTCCTTCTGAAAATTTAGTTACCTTCATTATTTTCAGATAGAATTTTCAGATAGACTGAGAATGCCTCTGTCTTTAGAAATGGAGAATATGTTCTTGGTACCATAAATAGCAGGTTACCTATATTATTTATATGATATCTGTATGATACATATCTGGTATCAGGTAGGTAAATACCTCAGAGGCGTAGCGTGGGGGGTGCAGGGGGGGCCGGCCGCACCGGGCGCAACATCTGGGGGGGGCGCGCTCGCAGCTCTCTGCCCCTGCCTGGCTCATTTGCAGAGAGAGAGAGAGAGAGAGAGAGACAGAGAGGCACTTGCACTTGCACTTGCACTTCCCGTCCCTCTCTCTCTCTCTCTCTCTCTCATGCCCCCT